TGCAATATTAAGTTACGATAGTGTTACACCCATTAGTATTACATTACGGTGATATTACACTTTGTAGTAATAAGTTACGACAATATTGCACCCTGCAGTATTTTACGTTGAATTTGTCGTAAGGTAATTGACATCAGTCCAAGCAAAAGATTATTTGGGGATTATAAGGATTATGCTATTTCACAAGTGATTAGTAAATTCATGAAGGTTAAGCGAGAGCAAGTCAAAGAAAATGAATTTTGTCCAAGTTTGACATTTTGGGATAAAATACGGCCAGAGCTAAAATACCCAGTATTTATGGACTAGTGTCATACAAGGTACTACATGGCTATGATAGTAAGGTGTACAAGGTATAGACAAAAATGAGTATTGAATGGACAACTATCTAAGCTGCCTAATTATTACAAAGTCCAACATGATTCAAAAAGGAATCAAAATGTATCCTTCCAAAATCAAAATGTCGATCAGCATTTCAACTTCAAGATTTTCCATCTCTCTTGGGTTGAAATAAAGAGTCAGAAGCTTCAAAAAAACGGTTGGAACAAGTTTTATACTTAAAATCCATTCTTTGGTTCAATGTTCGCAAAAACTTTAGAAGCAAATTATAGTTTTCACCATTTCAAGAATATTATTCCATCAGATTATTGTTGGAATAGGATTAAGCCATGATGGCTAAGTTAGAGTGCACATTAATTCTCCTCAGAACATGCAAAGTGTTGGAAAATATTGGAATGATGAGATCAAAAAAATTCTCTTTTAGCATGAGGCATATATCATGGATGACATTGTCGTTAAGGATATATCATCCAATGTAGGTGTAATCTCCAGGTATGTTAAGGCTATCCCTTCTTTCTTTTGGCATGATCCATACGATACAAATGAAACGTGAAAACGCACAAATTCCATGAATAACTCTATTCATAGAAGTATTAGAGCTATCTATGTTCTTGAATTTCTGTGTGTCATAATATTTTATCATCTGTTCATGGGTTTCAGAAAAAAATACGAAAGTTGAAAAAAGTTTACTTTATGATATTACTCAAAAGCAAAATGGTCTTATGAAGCTCCGAAAGATTTTGTTAACGTACTTTTCATGCATTTCATTCATGTACATTGACCCATGACCAGATGGCGTTATATACGCATATATATGTATGCATATGTATATGGGATATGGGAAAGGTTATGGCGTTATATACGCATCACCACCTGATCAGCTGGTNCATCAGCTGGTATACGATAATGACTTTGCCCACAGTGGCCGATATGATATAATGGGATGTCCTCAGAGGATGATGATGTTATGAAACATGTACCTATGCACGACATGACATTCATACGCATATGCATGGCGCTAAAAGTAATTTATGAGTTACAAAGTTATTCAGACTTACAGGTTGAGTCATGTACTGTATATGTCTTCCATGTCTTTTATGTATTTATTTATGTGCCTTACATACTCGGTACATTATTCATACTGACGTCCTGTTTGCCTGGGGATGCTACGTTTCATGCCCGCAGGTCCCGATAAACAAGTTGAGAGCCCTCCAAGAGGATATTAGCTCAGCGAAAGATGTTGGTGTGCTCCATTTGCTTCGGAGTTGCTTGTTTGGATGGTATGATTTTGACGTGTATTGATTGGTATGGCGGGACTCTGTCCCCACCTTTATAATGTTTATGTACTCATAGAGGCTTGTAGACATATGTCGTGTACATAAAGATTGTACGGCCTTGTCGGCCTATGTTTTGAGTTTATAAAGGATCATGTTGGCTTATGAGGCCCGTATGTCATGTGTATATGATGATGTAATAAGAAAGATACGTTACATTAGTATTCAGTTGAGTAAGGTACCTAGTGCCCGTCGCGGCCCATCGGTTTGGGTCGTGACAAATCCCTTCCATCATAGTCTTGGTGACCATGTCCAACCTAGTGTGGATTCTTCCCTTTTTCATTGGGAACACTATCAGGCCTAGAAAGCACACAATGAACACGAACACTCTGCGGTGGATGTGACCTAGTGAAGTGAGGGTGATCTCACCATGGTAAGTGCGGAAAGACTTTCTATGGCCATACCTCTCGTACATATATTCGAAAGGTATGTAGGAATCCTTCAAACACACTAGGTCAACATTCTTTTTTAGCCCCATCATCTTCAAAAATCCCTTGCTCGTACGGTTTTCTAGTACCAAAACCCGGGACTATCCCAAGTCAACCCTGTAAGTCCTCCTATTTCCTCTAGAAGCGGTGTCATCTCTATGTCACAGAAACGGAACACAACTCTTTCACTATCCCAGAACAAGGTGGCAGCCTCGATCAATTTGTTGTTTGGTTCAATATCTAGCAAGGAAGGCAAGTTACCCGGGTACTTTTTCACATACTTCTTGTCACTTGAGGAAAGGTCCTCCCACCAATCTAGCAGTAATGGTGGGATGTTGCTAACCATACCGAATCTGGGGTCCTCGTGCCTCATTTTCTGCAAAACAAAAAGGTTAGACCTTACCCCCACCAGACTCGACTATTTATACATTTATGATCAACATATCGGCATTTAGTTCTCCAAATTAATGCACAAAACGTGGTTGCGTTCGCTGGGATTATAGAAAATCCGATGGACATTGGATAAGGCTTATCTTAAAGGATCATTATGTGGACAACATAACTGATCTGACTAGGTTTGACCATGATGCATGCACAATTTAAACAGAGTAAGGTTTTATGGGGTTTTATACTGATACCTTCAAGTGGACAACTTGAGGGGGAAGGCACAAAACCGTCGACTGTACCGCTGATCGACTGGTTTTACCGCAAATAAGCCTTTCCGAATTTAAGGGTAGTAAATAGGAAGAGCGCAACCACTCATTAAAGTGTTGCTATAAGATTTTAGACGCACGAGTGAAATATGATGCGGATCATGATTTATGTAGTAATTAATAACATGTAGTCAAGTATTTTCACGTAGGAAAATAAATACAGTATTTAAATAATTGAAAGACAGTTACATGAAAAAGAAACTAAAGAGACAAGTCAGTTTCAGCGCAATAAAGAAATCAAAAATGCTTTAAAAATAGACAGTTAAATTCAAATAAGGGAGAAGGGTACGAGATAAACATGCTTGGACTAATTTGTAAAAGACAAGTTCATTATGGTAACAACCTAAAGGTATCCCTAGCAGAGTCGCCATGCTGTCGTGCCCCATTTTTTCCGTTGTTTTGACGGGGAAGTCCAGGTTTCGACATTCACGGGGTGTAATGACTCATATCCTTTTGGAAATTGGGTATTTGAAGAGTCGCCACCTAACGAATTATGGTGCGTTAGGGCACTAGAGCGATTAACTCTTGGGTTGGTTTGCATTATGAGAGATTAGGGTAAGGGCTCGAAGTAACCTCGAGGAGAAGGTGTTAGGCATCCCTCTTGGTCCACAATTGTGGGTCCCGACCAAATTATATTCACTAATTAGTCCATTACAAGTAAACAATTGAATCAAATAGGTCGCAAGCAAAACAAGTTGGGATAACTCAAGTAGTAAGATTTGGACAAGTTGTAAAACAAAGGTTTAAATAAAAAAGGAATCTGGTAAAGAGGGGTCCTAGGTTGGTTATCCTATAGGATCATCCCACACAATGTCTGGTAACACTCCTAAATGAGGGGCTACACGTGACATTAGCGCATAGTCATCATATCCCATATCTACCCTTCCCATCCCCTTATTGGTCATGCAAAGCTAATGTTTGGTCAACGATTTCTATTGCGTGCTGCTACCCGTCCCTTCTTAATGGTCCTGGAGGGAGTTAGGACCTCTACCTATAGTTGGTTCTAGACGTACCCCTAAGGTTTTAAAAGGCAAAAATTCTAAGGCAACAATCAAATACATTAAGGACTTTCAACACATAAAGGGAGAAATTAGAGGCTCAGAGTTTCCTCCTCAAACAAACACATAAACAATACGACTCAAGCACAGTTAATGTCTTTTATTAGACGATGACCTAAAGCAGGATATCTAGGTGAATATGTAGAAGACAAATAACCTCTTTTAGACTTAGAAGTTATAACCCTAGCAATTGCCTATGGAATTTTAAAGTCTGTTAGGATCAGAAAACATTAAGCAATAGAGACAATTTCAGAGATGCAGTTTTGAAAGCGCCCTAAGGGCTTGCCTATACGCGGAGTACTGATGTCTATATTAATACAGAAACAGAGCGGTTTTTGAAACGGACATCTTTAATACCTATAGGCATGATATCTAATGAGATTGAGGCAGTTTGAAAGAACTTGTTTTAGGAAATGCTTAATACTTAATAAAACCAATTCAGAAATGAAATAGGCATGATCAAGTTGACTTATTTAGACTAAATTAGATTGAAAGGCAGAATTTTGAATATGATTCCCTATAGGTATGATATCTAAGTTTAATACTGATTTTAACGATTTGCAGGCATGGAAACACACATAACACTCGTTGCACCAGAATCCGAATTAAGTCCTATAGGCATGGCATCTATAAGTTAATCCGATTTTTTTAGACATTGAAAGCATGATTCTTATTACGAAATTATCTGAATCCTATAGGAATGGTTTCTAGACGTGACAAGATGTAGAACCTTATAGACATGATTTCTATTTAGTAGAGCAAATAGATTTAAAAGCAAGATCCTAGGAGCATGATTTCTACCCGCATTACCCCATAAAGCATGTATCTACCCATCCTTTTCACTAAATACCCCAATATCTGTTTACGAGTTATTACAGACCAATAAATGAATTACACAAGAAACACTACAAGAAAAAGGGTTATTAGGGACCAAGATTTAGGGACGAGTTTAAAATCTGGTCCATAAAAGTGTACTTACAGGGACGAGATTATTTTTGGTACATAAATCACGATTTATTTTTCCTAAAAAAACGAAGGGATTTAATTTGGTCTGAAAAAAAGACATATACCGGTCTCTAATAATCACATTCAGTGGGAGACAGAGGCGGGAATAAAAAATAAGTGAAAATAGTTGGCGCTAGTTTCCCAAACTTTTTCTCCCTCTCTCTCATACATAAGTAAAAAAACTTTTTACTTAGCCTTCCCAAACGTTTTTTTGCCTCTCTCTTTCTCAAAACCCTTGAAATTCCTAAACTCCTAAAACACTTGTTGCTCGATATCAAGCATTGTCTGGCAAAAAAAAATTTCTCTCAATCACTCGGCATTATTCGGCTACATCAAGAGTGAGTTTCTTCAATTTTTCTTATTTTGCTTCATTTTTTCTTTCTGATGAAAATTAGATTTTTTTTCATCCGTTTCTTTATTTCTCTCTCTTTTTTACCTATGTTTCTTTGATCGAGTTTTTCTTTATGTGGAACATTAATTTTTGTTGTGTGGGAGGTAAAAGTGAGAGTATTGGATTCGATTTTGGGGCTTGGACAACAAGAACAGAAGTTTTGTCATTAGGTTTCTTTTCTTTTTTTTCTTTGAAATATTAATTTTTGTTGTGTGTTAAAACTGAAGTATTTGTGGATTTATTGAGGGGTTTTATCTATTAGGGTTACATCAAAATAAGAGTTTTGGGAACTTGCTTGAAGGGCTAAGAAATTGTCGTGGGTATATTGTGGGATTTTGTTTGTTGTGGGTTTTGTTATGTGGTGAAGAATTGGTTGAACTTTTTACATATTATGTGTTCTAATTTAGTTCCTTCACTCTAGAATTTTAGCACATGTAATCCATTATATGCAAAAGTTAAAAATAAAATCAGTAAGAGCATAATCAATATGTTTGTACATGTAAATTGCATAAACCATCGCTAAAGTAATCCATTATATGCAAAAGTTAAAAATAAAATCAGTAAGAGCATAATCAATATGTTTGTACATGTAAATTGCATAAACCATCGCTAAAGTAATCCATTATATGCAAAAGTTAAAAATAAAATCTGATTTATTCAAATTAAACATTAAGGTTCTGTTTAAACTCATTTATGTTCTGCTTGTATTAGAATTTTGTATCATTCAATTTTTAAACTATTGTTGTTAGGAATATAATATAGCGAGAAAGAGTTATGTGCTCCTATCATGAGGTTGATAATAGCGACAAAGCTGAAAAGTTTTCTGCATTACTAAATCTCCCTCCATTGTCTTTGTTTATGTTTTTTTGTCAACTCCGTCAAAATATCACAATAGTACATATACATGTGCCATGGTTAGTCATAATGATTATGCCGAAATATTTATTAACTGAATAGGAATAATTTATGTAAGACACATCATGTATTTATTGTGCGAGTATATTATCTGTTTTGACTTTCAATTTATAGTTTATCTCATCTTGTGATATCTTAGGAAGTATTGATCACTAAAAGAGTTTGCAAGCTAATAAAAGGTTGTGTGCATCTATGTAATTTTGTTATTCTAAATAATTTTTTTCATCTAATATTTCTATATTGTTTAAGGTTATGGCACCAAGTAAGAAATGGATGCAGCTTATTGATAATCGGCTCGATGAAGCCTATTTAATTGGGGTGCAGAAGTTTTTAGATTATGCTTTTAGAAGAATAGGAGAATCATATGAAATACGATGTCCCTGTGTCAAATGTTGTAACACAACATTAGGAACACGCGAGACAGTCGAGTCACATTTGAAAGTATATGGAATAATAAAAAATTATACTTTTTGGTATCACCATGGAGAAGTTTTAGGTGAGCCACAGTCGGAACTTGAAGATGAAGATGATAATGAAGCAGAAGAATACGAGAGTGAGGATGAAATAGAAGAAATTTTGAGAGATCTATATCCTAATCATGATAGAAGCACTGCAGATATTGGTTGTCATGATTTACTTCAAGAAGAACCGAATGTTGAAGCCAAAAGATTTTACAGTCTATCGAGGGATTTTGAGAAGCCACTATACCAAAACTCAAAAATTTCAAAACTTTCCACTTTGATTAAATTGCTTCACATAAAAAGTATGGATCGCTGGAGCAATGAGTCATTTACAATGCTATTAAAAATGTTAAAGGATGAATTGTTGCCCGATGAAGTGGATTTGCCAAATTCATATTATGAGCGAAAAAGGTAATTCAGAATCTTGGGCTTTCCTACTATAAGATTGATGCTTGTATAAATGATTGCATGTTATACTGGAAGGAGGATAATTTACTTGATTCTTGTAAAATTTGTGGTGCATCCATATGGAAAATAAATAAACATAGCGGGGAAGCCAAGAATAAATAAGGCAAAAAGATAGCAGCTAAGAGTTTGCGCTATTTTCCATTAAAGCCTAGACTTCAAAGGTTGTTTATGTCTACAAAGACATCTTCTCTAATGACATGACATCATGATAAAAGAGTTGATGATAGAATAATGAGGCGCCCAGCTGATTCAATGGCTTGGAAATCATTTGATGAACTTCATCCCTCATTTGCGGCCGAGCCTCGTAATGTTCGACTTGGACTTGCTAGTGATGGATTTCAGCCATTTCGCAATTCAAAAACCTCATATAGCATTTGGCCTATGGTACTTATTCCTTATAATTTACCACCTTGGTTGTGTATGAAACAAGAAAATTTTATTATGTCAATGCTTATTCCTGGTCCAGATTGTCCACGAGATGCAATTGACATATATCTTCAACTTTTGATAGAGGAACTAAATGAGTCACGAGAAATTGGTATTGAGACCTTTGATGCATCTACTAGACAGAATTTTAAGTTGCATGCTTCTTTGTTATGGACCATTAATGACTTTCCAGCATATGAAAATTTATCTGGATGGAGTACAAAAGGAAAATTGGCATGCCTATGTTGCAATAAAGATACTTTCTCAACTAGATTGACCAATAGTAAGAAACAATGATTTATGGGTCACCGACGATATCTTCCTCTTAATCACAGATGGAAGAATGATAAGGAGTCATTTGATGGCACAAAAGAGCAACAACTCCCACCAAAAATACGTTCTGGTATTGAAATACTTAATCAAGTGTGGGATCTTGAAGGGCTACATCTAACGAAGGATCCAAAGAAAAAGATCAAAATATCACATGAGAATCGAAAGGATAACTGGAATAAGAGAAGTATTTTTTTGGAACTTCCCTACTGGAAATCTTTGTTGTTGCGACATAATTTGGACGTTATGCATATTGAGAAAAATATATGTGATAATATTTTGGGGACGATCATGAATTCTAAAGGAAAGACCAAGGACACCATTAATGCTCGGCTAGATTTGCAAGAAATGAACATTAGGCCGGAACTGCACCCCATCAAAAAGGGAGAAAAGTACGAAGTTCCAACTGCAAGTTATACATTATCTCCCCAAGAAAAGCAAATTATGCCTCGTTTTAAAAAATTTAAAGGTTCCAGATGGATTTTCATCTAATATTTCTCAATGTGTGAACTTGAAAGAACATAAGATTTCTGGCTTAAAGAGTCATGATTGCCATGTTCTTTTGCAACATTTACTCCCTCTTGCACTACGTGGTATGTTGTTCAAAGAAGTATGTGAACCACTTATTGAGTTGTCTTTATTTTTCAATATTCTTGGAGCTAAGGTGTTAAGGATGGATGACTTGGAACGAATTGAAGCTCAAATTCCTATAACTCTTTGCAAGTTAGAAAAAGTATTCCCTACACCATATGTGACACATTTTAATGGCTACGTTGTTAATGGATATAGATTTCATGTAGAAGATTGTGATAAACAGTTAAGGACTCAAAATTGTGGTGTGGTTTTTGTTGGAGAGACTGAAAAATACAGTGAAAATATTGATTACTATGGAGTTTTAACTAATATTCTTGAATTGCAATTCATGGGTAGAAGAGTGGTTTAATTTCGATGTAATTGGTTTGATGTGTATGATAACACGAAAGGAGTTAAGAAAGATGAATATGGTTGTGTAAGTGTTAATTGGGGACGATTTTTGAAAATAAATGAGCCTTTTGTATTAGCGGACCAAGCATCTCAAGTGTTTTATGCTAATGATAATTCCAATAAAGGCTGGCGTGTAGTGAGAAAGATGCAACCTCGTGATTCCTATGAGATTGTGCAACAAACGGATGATGATATTGTAGATTTAGAAAATCACAAAAATAAACGAAAAAGAACGAATGTGGTATGCTATTTCTATATGCATTAGCATATCATTGTTATATATTATTTTTATTTATTTATTAAGAACCATTGTTATATATTCTGATTACATGATTTTTTCATTGATAGTACATTGTCTTTATAATGTCTTGATTTTTCTTGTGATTTTTTTGTAGGTTTAATATGAAACCATTAAAGACTGGAAAGGAGGTGGGATCCACTATGAAGTCTACTAACAAATATACTTCGTTGCACCTGGTGCTATTGGGAAGGACCAAGGTGAGGGCTTAGATCTACGTGCTCTTTGGGGTTATCTGATTCTACCAAGCATGCTGCTCAAGAAATACAAACTGACATTCCATTTTATACATCTACTGATGAAGTTATGAAATACATTCAAACAGGTGAAACAAGTATGGTTTCTCAAAATTTTTGTGCTGTTAATATGTAAAACTGAATTCTAATGTCAAAGTTTTTACTAATATAATTTTTTTGTACTAGGTGCTATAGCAAAGGGACGAGGGCGAGGGCTTAGATCTATGTGTTCTTCGGGGATATTAGAAAATAAGTTGGGATCCTCCTTCCATCAAAGGATTCTTTATACTAGTCAAAGTGTGCCAAGAATTTCTAACAATACAAGATCAAATTCTACATTGTCTGCTGCTCAAGAAACGCGAAGCACGATTAAAATCCCCTCGGTTCTTGAGAAAGATCATATGCAAACTGATGTTTCATTTTCTCCATCTACTGATAAAGTTATACAATCTCCCCAATCAGTCGAACCAAGTATGATTTCTCGAATTTACTGCAGAAACAGTTCTACTTAAATGAAAAATAGACATAGTACGAAGATGAAATCAATTGTCTGAGCCTCTCATTTTCTTTATCAACTCCACTGAGCTAGGAACACAACACTCTACCTTCATCCTATCTCAGTTGGAGTTGATAAAGGAAATGAGAGGCTCAGACAACTGATTTCCTCTTCGTACTAAGTCTAACATGTACAAGATATTATGAATTGAGAACCTAAATAGACAAAAGAGAGGCATAATTACATAATTACAGTATAAATACATTCTTAGTTTCTCTCTTGAAATATCTTAGTCAATATATAACAATGACCTAATCTGATTACAATGACCACTTTTAAGGATATCAGATTCAATTGTTGTATCAATCTGCTAAAATTTTTTTCTTCTTCACATCTATGGAGTTACTAATTTATATAACTAAATTTTAATGCAGAACTTTGTACTAATATGATTTCTTGCAGGTGCTATAGGGATGGGACGAGGACGAGGGCGAGAGCTTAAATCGTTGACCTCTTCAAAGGTTTCTGAAAATAAGGTGGGATCCTTTCATCATAATGCTCTTTACGCTAGTCAAGGCATGCCAAGAACTTCTAACAGCACAAAATCAAATTATACAATGTTTGCTGCTCAAGAAATGCGAACAACAAATGTAACTCCCTCTGTTCAAGATAAAAAGCATGTGCAAACTGATATTGCATTTTCTCCATCTACTGATCAAGTGATGAAATCTTCCCAAACATTTGAACCAAGTGTGTTCTCAAATCTATTCGATCATAAGTTGATTATTTGTGTAATATTTACAAATACTTCTACATTATGTAAATGTAGGTTCATGTACTAGTAAGGTAAAAAAAGTTCGAGGAAGTAACAAGTGCAAAGAAGTTGCATCACTTGAAGTGGGGCAGAAGCTAAAAGTAACATTTTACAATAATCGAACAGTTGGAAAGAATAGCAATCTATTTGTGAGGCACTTGGGAAAATTAGTTCGTGACCGTAATATGTGTCCATTAGGAGTATCATCGTGGGATGACATTAAGGAAGAAAAATTAAATCATATGTGGGCAGCTGTTGAGGTAATTGGATCGAGTGTTCTGTTTTTATTCTTGGGTTCCTCTTTTCTTACTAATCTGGAGATGTGGCTATGGCCTCTATTACTTATATATTTTCTCTCATTTGATTATATATGCTAGAAGCTTTATTTCTTATATAGAATGAACTTATCTGTTAGAGAAGAGATTATAAGACTAAGTGGACAATTAACGCACTTACTCCTGCTTCTAATCTGTTATTGGCAACTAGATGTTGGCAAGGAATTATCTCTGTAATGCTAGAACACTGATGTTCCCTAGTAATTATTCTTTTTCTTATTGACTGAATTACATGAATTTTTGTCTTTTCAGCAGATACTATGAGGGAATTCCAATTTACTGACATTGAATCATTGAATGACTACTAATTTATTTTCACATACTCTAAAGGTTTAAAACTTATTTATTTTATTGTAGGATAAATTTGAGAGTGATGACATGGATATCCATCGGGATCATATTTTGAGTTGGATGAAAGAATTATGGAATAAATGGAGAGGACAATTTCATGCAAAGTATGTGAAGGGTAAGCCAATACAAGAGGCTCTTAGAAATGTGCCAAAGGGAGTAGATAAAAAACAATGGGAATGGTTGATAAAGGAGCATTTTTCTTCAGAAAGTTTTCAGGTTTGACATATAATACTTAGTTATATATTTTCATTTCATACTATGATCAATTGTTTGAGATTTATTTATAACATTTCAATCTAATATTGTTACGCAAATATAGGCGAGAAGCCACAGGAACGCAACAAATAGAGTTAAGCTAAAGATGCTTCATCATATTGGTAGCAAGCCAATTAGAGAAATTATTTATCAAAAGGTGCTATCATAATATATCTCAATTCTTTTCTTTGAATATTGACATACACTATTTGACATGGTTTACTTTGATGTGAAGGGTGGAAAAGATGGCAACCCACCAGATTTGGCAACTATTTTCTTTGAGACTCGCAAGAAGAATAACACACTTGTTGATTTTGAAACAATTGAGAAACATGTGCGTTTGATTAATTGAACATCTACTTTACTTTTAGTTAGCACATGTTCTGATAATCTCTTTATATGCTTTTCAGGCTCAAATCCAAGAATTGGTGATGTCCTAACCGTCTCTTCCAAGCATAGAGATTGTAGAAAAGTGCTTTGGACCTCAAACTCGTAGCCATGTATTTGGTTTTGGAGGTGGAGTAAAAGCAAAAGACTTGAAAGGTGGCACTTCTTCAAAGGCTGAACTAATATCTGAGTTGCGTTCAACTCGAGAAGAAAACAAATCTTTGAAGGATCGTGTGTCTACATTAGAAAATGAGATGAAAGAAATGAAGCAAGTAGTATTTACTCAACACTCCAATGTCAAGCCTCCGACATCGACCGTTTCAGAAGAATGACCATCTGATTAACATACCAAGTTAATAACAACTTATTTGGAATATTAGTTCATTTTTTTAATTGATTGTGCATTTGCTGCTTTTCTACATTTTCCAGTTCTATTGCCGCATTCGACACCTTTCTAGTTGCGGTAATTTTCCTTGAATATCAAAGTCGACATGATCTGTGATGGATTCTTGGGACCATTAATTTTCTGAACTTTAAAAGAGAAGCTTTTTTAACTTTCACTACAACTAGTCTGCATATAAGAAAATTCATCTAAATATCTAAATAGTGTTAAGAACTAGTCTACTGATTTTCAGGACAATTTTGGGGTCTGTTTCTAAATATTTGTGATGTGTATTGTGGGACATATACAATAACACATGTGCTAATGAGAAGTGTAGCATAGATAATTTGGATCATGGTTTAACTTGGATTTCAGTAGTGTTTCACTTAGTACTCGATTTGAAGATAACTGAGCTGCATACACTAATTTTTCTTCACTAAATAAAAAAGGAAGTACTAATCTCAGTAGTGTTTCACTTAGGAATTTTGCTCATTACAGGCTGTCTGCAAATCCTAGTCACCTTTTCTTCAAGTAATATGAGATACCCCTAGAAAATATAAGATTTCTTTATGAAGTTGTTTATATGTGTGGTATTTTGAAAAAAAATTCATGAATAGAGCTGACATGCTTAAAGTTCTTATTTCGGAACCAAATTTATGAAAGAAGCATTTACACTTACTTTCGAATGTGCTTGTATCATGGACACTTGTGCTGCTGCTTCCATATCTGCCTTTTTAAAACTCTACACTTGTGTTGCTGCTTCAATAAACCTCTCTACACCAATTAATAAATTCTACTCTATTTGCCGCAAACTAAAAAGCTTTGTTTCTGCTTCGACTTCCGTATGGGAAGGAATTACTCTAGTACATGAAGAGAGCAGGGGAAAGAAGTGGCTGAAACTAAGTGATTTAAGCATTGTTTACTAACCTATTCCCTTCTTTTTGTCTAATGATATAAACATATTGTTTTCCTATCACAAGATTCTTTTGTGTTGTATCTATTGTTTCTGGGTGTCCCTAACTAGACTCTTGTTGCATTGCGTCTACATAGATTATTTATTCTAGAGCCGAGGGTCCTTCGAAAACAGCCTCTCTACTCTCCGGGGTAGGGGTAAGGTCTGCCTACACTCTACCCTCCTTAGACCCCACTTGTGGGAACTCACTGGGTTGTTTTTGTTGTTGTTGTTGTTTAATTTGGATATTCAACCATGCTATAGTACATGAACTATCTGTTGCATAGAATTATGTTCTTTTCTGAAGATTTGCTTGAGTGAGACAACAATCATGTTTGAGCTGTCCGTATTAGACATATCACCTTCGATTGGCTTTGATCTTCCGTAACACTTGGGATCTTACTTATTTACCTTGAGATGACTTTGAATTAGTCTTGAAACTATTGATGCATGCCTATCATTGCCAGAGTATTCTTTAAGCAAGCAGTCTTGTATATACTAAATTATAGTGCTTTTTAAGGGGGCAAATTGTCAAATATCCAATTGATTAGAGTACATAGTTCATTAACGAAGCATCACGCTTTTTCTCATGTTTATGCTTTAATGCTGTGTGTTTCTGTCCCCCATTTCGCCCCAACCCACGCCTCAATTCCCCATCACAAAATTAAAGGAGCACTGCAGAATAGCAATCAGAGAAATAAAGGCTTAGGAAAACTAGTTTATGTTCGTATTATCCAAAACATATTATTTCTAACCCACTTATGTTTGTTGTCATTCAGCCTCTTTTACGGTGATGGTTTATGTTTCTAATTTGGGCAGTTATTCAGGTAAGAGGTTAAATATCTATTCCAATAAATTAATTGATTTTATAGTATCTTTATATTTTTTTTCTTAACAATAATTGTTTGCATCCTTTTTCCAGGTTTTGGAGAGTATAACTTACCAGTCAAGACGCAACTTTTGAAAACTATTATTTTAGAAGATGACTATCGTTTTGGAGACTATCGTATAGAAGATGACTATCATTTTGCTAGGATATTATTGCAAAAAATGTTATTATATTTCTAATTTAGGGATATTAATTAGGTATTTTTGCTATGGGATATTGTAAAAGTTATTGTGACTTACATCATGGCTATATATCTTGTCATGACTTACTCAATTTTTGTAATAGAAAAATTTATCTTTATATTATCTTTTGTGCCAATGGTTTTTAGAGAATTTGGTTAATATTGAGATTTATTGATACAAAACTTTAGGGACCAACAGTAAAATTTTGATGGACCAGAGTGATAGTCCCTAAAATATAATTTTGACCAGTTTAATGTCCAGTTAGTTAATCATTAGGGACCAAAAAAGTAGTCTCTAAATCAATTAAGGACCAGATAATGATTGATTTAAGGTGTTATTTTTGTTTTATCATGGACCGGAAATCTGGTCCTCAAAAATCTTTTAGAGACCAGAAATGAGCTGGTCGTTGAAACCCTTTAGGGACCAGTGTTAATAACCCGTCGCTATTGACCTTTAGCGGCGAAGCCTACAACGACGGGTCGCAACCAGGTGAACTTGGTCGCTATTAATCTTTAGGGACCAGATTTTGATTTTTAAGGACCGTTTTCTCGTCTAATAGCCGTTTTTCCTGTAGTGTAAATAAAAAATCAAGAAGCTATTTTATAAGGAGCCTTCAATTAGGCCCAGATTCCCCAAAGCCTCCAATGACCTCATATGCCTCAATTCCATAGACAATGACATAGTCTAGGAGCATCAAAGTTCTCTAAGGATCTCAAGGATCCCGGGCAGTGCTTACACCTAGACATGGTAACCAAAATTGAACAAGTGCAGTGTGGAAGGGCCAACCTCAGTATGCCAGAGTTCAGAG